ACAGCTTTATTTTTGAAAGTTACTTGTATGTTTCTGTCAATGCTTCCTTATTTTTTTCTTTTCTCATAATATTTATAATAATATATATTTCTATGACCCTTTAAGACATGCAACTTCCATCTTTTCCCTTCCCCTTCAGCTCCTCTTCTCAGCAGACTTTTAGTGCTCTCTGAAATCCTACTTGCCAAAGTGTGATTATTCTTAAAGAAGAGAGATAACTTCCTTTGTGCTGTTGTGCTCTTTTTATTCTACCTGCTAATATTTTTCCATCTGTCGTTAAGTGGTTTGCAAAGATTTAAGTTTGTCATTTTAGAAATTGTTGGGTTTTTTTTGCTACTTTTTTGGATAATAACTGCAACTGGACTACGATTTATTTGTGTAAAGCAGTCAAGTCTATGTTCATGTCTCTGATTAAATGAAAGTAGTTATTTACATGACTATGTCAGACGTATCCTAAATCAAAATCTTCAAGTTAATATTTTGAAATAGATTTTGAAATAATTTTGACATCTTATTATTATGAAGCAAATCATTTAGAAAGTCTTGATAAAGAAATTTGTAAATATAAAATGTAGTTGAGATTTTAGATTATATTCACTTATGTTCCTTAGAGAACAGAGAATTGTCTAGTTTATTCCAGTTTGTTTAATTTTTTTAGATTTGCTTTTTTGAGAAAAATAATATTTGGAGGAAATATAATTTGACATGATTGAAATTCTGTACCATTTACTGTTCTTTGAAAATTTTATTGCAATCTAGTTTTCAGCTTTTTATACAGTATAAAAGACCTTACACTAAGACATCGAGTATCAAATTTCCTTTTGAGATAAAAAGTATTAAAAAATGTCCTAGATAGAGAAAATGTGCCACAAATTTCATTCGGAGGCAAAGAATACACTTGAACTCTCAGTAAAATCTATTGAGATTTCCCTTGGAATGAAGATACTGTTTTCCTGTGGTGAATCATCCGCAGCCAGAACTCTGTTAGCAAATGTGGGAGACGGAGGGATGCTTGTGCTGTGAGTTTACAGCAGTGAGCTGGGAATATACATTCTATTTTATAAATAACAATTGAAAAATATTAGTCTATGTGATCTTTAGTGTCTTCATACTACTTGTTTGTACCTTTGGTTAATGTATTTACAATTTCTTGCTAAACAATTAATTCTTCTAACTTTTCTAGGCAGGTGTTTCAAAGCTGAATGAAGCTAAGGCCCTGGTAGATGAATTGAACAGAAAAGCTGGAGAACAAAGCGTATTACTCAAAACTAAGCAGGATGAGGCTGATGCTGCCCTCCAGGAAATTACAGTATCTATGCAGGTGTTGTATCCAATCACATCAGCAGAGAAAAAAATAATCATTTTCTCCTTTTGGTCTCCACAACTGCCTGTGCTTTCTGGTTTTGTTTGTTTGTTTGTTTTACTTTCTTTTGTTTTTTTGTTGTAGCTGTTTTTTTAAGAAGTTGCCTAGGAGAATTACAAGAAATGAGCTCTGTGCCTTGAAGAAATTTACAACAGGATAGAGAGGATTAGATAATTTAAATCATATTTGAATTGATTGAGTAGGAAGAGATTAGTGTCAGTTTTGCACATGAGCAATATTTACTACTATAGATTAGGCTGAAATGTTTCCTAGAACTTTATAAATGCAGATTGATACATATTGTAATGCCTCTTACAAATACAAACTTTGGAGAAAATACTGATGAGTTGCAGTAATAACATAATGAATTTTAAGTAATAAATCTTATAAACTAATTCTGGGTATCTGTTATAAACTACTTATTTCATGAAATTTAGTTCTTTGATGTCAGCGTCAAAAAAGATAATTAATATCTTAGTTCTTGAACATTTATCCTTCAGCTCAAAACCTTCTGGTTTTGAAGAGGTAAATTTCTTTAGTAGTATTTTCTCATTTAAATTAAACAATTATTTGGAAAGCGATCAATACTTTCAGAAATCATAAGTTCAGGTTAAACCATAATGAATTCTCCCTCTTTGCACTGTTTGTTTTATTGTTGGCTTAATCTGATAAGTCTGAAAAAAGCTTAAATAAAGAAGCTGAAAGGCAAAACCAGTTTCTGTATACGGGAAAGCAGATGTCTGCACTGTCAAAACATTTGGATTACAATGCTATTAAGGTGCATTGCTTCCCATTTTTATAGGTTTGCTTGCTATTTTAGTAATTTTTTATACTTATATAAACTCTGTGTCTTCTTCGTGTACACATATCTGATTAATAGAAAAAGTGAGTGTTTTGGTGTGTTTCCTGCTGTGCTGTATGCACTGCTGGCCCCAGTTCCCCTGATTTCTGTTTAAATCTGTTTGCTGTTGTCCAGTTGAGCTATATGTTGCAGAGGTAGCAGATATTACATTGTATGACAAAATGGAAGTATGGACGATAAATAATGAAGCATCATCATGCTTTTATGCCCAGCGACATCCAAAAAAGAAAAGCATTTATAAGTTATTTAAACTAACAGAAAGTGTAAATGCCCTCTAATATTTTAACGTCATTTCAGAAGCTACAATTTTTTAAGAAGTAGGAGCCTTAAAAGTAGAGTTGATGATAGAGTAAAGAAAGGGAAGGAGACATGCTAAAAGCAATAGATGCTTAAGTCCATCTAATTTAGTCACATAATTATAAATCTAAACCCAGGGACTAAGTCCATATGTATTTTTCTTTATTGAACTATCATCAAATGTTTTCACATATTTTAGTGTGACTGGTATTGTGCAAGTTATAATGAAGACTAAAAGAATTAAGAGAAGTGGAAGTAGAATAGAATTTGTGAAAATCTTTAAAGATAATTTCTCTTTCTTACAGAGTGCTAGTGAGCAGAAGACAGAAATGGAGAAAATAAAGCAACGGATAGCAGAAGAGGCTGCAGAAATAGAAGAAAGAAAAAGAAAAATTGAAGATGAACTAAAAGAGGTTCAGGTAAGGACTGATAAGGCAAAGTAATCTTCTGCAGTCTGATTTTGTTTGAATGACTCAAGTTCTGACATACAAAATGATTCTATAAGATGTATCCTGTTATTTCTAAAATCTTGCTGTCAATCATTTAGATATTAAAGCTCTTCGTATGTTAGGAAACATTCTAGTTCTAACGTTTAGCTTTCTTTTGATAATTCAGAGTTATTTTCTATTTGATCTTAATTATAATAACATATTTCAGATCAAATCTTAACTTCCAGTTACTGTTTCCCTCCTGGGTTGGTCTCAGCATCATCCTATCAGGGATGGTCGCAGTTGAGGTCTGTGTTTTTTACTAATATCTTCTTTAGGCACACTATGTCACTTCTGCTTGGTGAATCTAGCAATGTCACAGGGCTTGGCATTATTTATTTAAGAGGAATAGTTCAAGGATCAATATTTTCCAATTACCTATTAGTTCTATTTTAATATATTTTTATATCAAATTGCTTGTCTGAGAGACCTCACAGCATTAAGCAGCCTTTTTGGGGGGGAGATATGTGTTTTCAGTCATGATAGTCAGTCTCTACTTTTCATCTCAGCTGTTTTGAAGTTATACTAAAGAATAAGGAAAAAATACAACAGCTTGCTTTTTTTCTTTTCCTTTGGAATATCATGGGTACTCAGGAATCATACCGTTGTGTTGAGAGTGACTGAGAAGTACAGGATTAGGGCCAGTCCCATTTTTGGTCTTTGATACATGTGCAAGGAGTGGCCAATCTTCTACAAAATAAGATAGGAGAGCATATCTATAGCACAGGATAGGATTTTGTGACCTTCTTGGCTTTCTCATCATTTTGTTGCTTTGTCAGTAAGCGCGAAGGCTTTTTAAATGTCAATCTTCTGTTTAGCTGCTTATAATAAACAAGTTTTTTATGACCTGTATGTAATGTTTATGCTATGTATGTTTATGCAGATAGCCGTAGGCAAATCATGCCTATAAAGGGTAGTTATTATCATTTCTGAAACATATCCTTTTTACGGTCTAGTTTTAATTTTATGAATTAAAGTGCTGAATCAAAAATTAGGGACTGTCACAATGAAAATATGCTGTTATATGTAATCATAATTGCCATTTCTTATTAAATTTGTTCTTATAAATACATATGAAAAAGGATTGGTTGGGTAATAAAATATTCAACATTAAAAAGAACATTAAATTGTATGAAAACTGAAAAGTCAAATATTCAGTTTCTTGTATTCTCACTTTTTTAATACACTTTTATGTTAAGCCACTTGTTAATGAAGCTAAACTAGCTGTTGGAAATATAAAGCCAGAGTCTTTGTCAGAAATCCGATCGTTACGGATGCCCCCTGACATAATCCGAGACATACTGGAAGGAGTATTACGACTGATGGGAATTTTTGATACATCATGGGTGAGCATGAAGAGGTGAGCATTTTATTTAAGCTTTAAAATACAATATACTTCCTGCTATGCTCAGTAATAATGTGTGTGTCTGCAGCGTTCTAGGGAAATAACATCTTTAATACTTAGTTCTTCCTTGCTTTTATAGCTTTTTGGCAAAAAGAGGAGTGAGAGAAGACATAGCAACCTTTGATGCCCGCAATATTCCAAGAGAAATAAGGGACAGTGTTGAAGAACTTCTTTCAAAAAACAGATCATCTTTTGATCCAAAGGTAATTCTTAATTTCTCTATTTAAAATGAAAAAAAATAATAGTGATCTGATTTACAAACACATAGACTTAAATTAGAGGAAAACAATGATGAATTTTCCTTGCAGAGAAAATGTCTTTGTCACTAAAAAGAGAGAAGGGTATAGTAGAAGCTACTGTGTTGCAAATTCCTCTAACAGTGAGGAATTTGTATGAGGTTGAGGAGAGCTGAGGTAAGAAAAGTCTTTAGGCATTGACGTTCCCAGGAGATACTGTGTAAAAAAGAAGACAGATCAAAATGTTGTAAGCTCTTTATGGCCTCCTTGTAGCAGTCAGTCATTAACTTTGCAGTTAATTGAATAAAGATAATTGCATGGATTGGTAATAATTGAGACCTAATTTGTCAGTAACTACTAAAAGGAATTTGGTTCTTTCCTTTTAAGATGAAGATGATAATTCCTTGAAAAGGAGCGTGGTAGATTTTGGATTCCTTTAGAACTTTATAACTTCAGTGAAGCTTCAGAGTTTTAAAGATATCCATTATTTCCTTTCATAGAATCATAGAATCATAGAATGCTTAAGGTTGGAAGGGACCTCTAGAGATCATCTAGTCCAACCCGCCTGCACACGCAGGGTCACCTAGAGCACGTGGCACAGGACTGCATCCGGGCGGGTTTTGAAGATCTCCAGAGAAGGAGACTCCACAACCTCTCTGGGCAGCCTGTTCCAGTGCTCTGTCACCCGCACTGTTAAAAAATTTTCCCTTAAGTTCCTGTGGAACTTTTGATGCTTCAGTTTCTGGCCATTTCCTCTAGTTCTGTCAGTGGCTACCACTGAAAAGAGGCCAGCACCATCCTCCTCACTGCCTCCCTTGAGGTACTTATCAGCTGATCAGCTCCCCTCTCAGCCTTCTCTTCTCCAGGCTGAACACGCCCAGCTCTTTCAGTCTCTCCTCATAGGGCAGATGTTCCAGGCCCCTGACCATCCTCATAGTCCTGTGCTGGACTCTCTCCAGCAGCTCCACGTCGCTCTTGTACTGTGGAGCCCAGAACTGGACACAATACTCCAGATGCGGCCTCACCAGGGCTGAGTAGAGAGGCAGGATCACCTCCCTTGATCTGCTGGAGATGCTCTTCTTAATGCACCCCAGGATCCCATTGGCCTTTTTGGCCACGAGGGCACACTGCTGCCTCATGGTCAAGTTGTCATCCACCACAACTCCCATGTCCCTCTCTGCAGGCTGTCAGGTTAGTCAAGCATGATTTCCCCTTGGTGAATCCATGCTGACTACTCTTGAGCACCTTCTTGTCCTCCATGTGCCTGGAGACTAGGGCCAGTATGAGCCGTTCCATCACTTTTCCGAGGATGGAGGTGGGGCTCAACAAACTTGAGGCCGACAATATAATCTCTTTGTGATGGTTTACAAGATCTGTTCTGCAGAGGAACTGACTAATCTTCCTATCTGTGTTGGCAAGTAATGAATCTTTGCAGTTGTTTATTCTATATTTATGTCAATTTTGATTTACATTTTTTTTTCAGAATGCTAAACGAGCCAGTGCTGCAGCTGCTCCATTAGCCTCTTGGGTGAATGCCAATGTCCAGTATTCCCATGTCCTAGAACGAATACAACCTTTGGAAAAAGAAAAAGCTGTCTTGGAAGCGTAAGCTAAGACCATTGCAAAATAAATGGAATAAATAAATTAATTCTAATAGTGGTGGGTGAGACTAAGACCAAATAGAAGGAATTCAAGTTTCTTAAAAACAGAAGAAATCTGAAACCGTTCCTAACCAATAGATGATGGAATGTCCATGCAAGGAGCGAAAATGCAGAAGCATGCAATATTTTTTCCCTGAAGGCTCTGCTTTGCGTATGTTTTGGCCAAACACAAGTTACCAGTCTCATTTGAAATGTGTCTGTGAGAAATGAACGTCCTAGAAATGTTTAAATTGTCAGTGAAACCCTTGTTACTTTTCTTTTCAGGCATGCACCAAATGTAGTCATTTTCTCCCTAGAATCACAAGGATATGAAACAGTATTGTGACCAACCATGAACTGGGAGACCTTTACTAATTATTTTGTGAGGGCTTAAAGTTTTGTATTGGAAGAATTTGTGGTATTCCTAATTTTTAAGAACACATTTGAATGTTATGCATATTCAAAGCTTTTTTTGAAATTAAAAGTAGTCAGAATTTTTACAAGTGAAAATGGATTTTTCTGGAGATCATCTAGTCCAACCCCCCTCCTCCAGCAGGGACACCCAGAGCACGTGGCACAGGGTGGCATCCAGGCGGGTTTGGAAGATCTCCAGAGAAGGGGACTCCACAACCTCTCTGGGCAGACTGTTCCAGGGCTCTGTCACCCTCACAGTCATGAAGTTCTTCCTCACATGGAGGTGGAACTTCCTGTGTTCAACTTACACCCCTTACCTCTCGTCCTGACTTATAGATTTTTCTATTTTAGTCTTAAAATATGCATTACTTTTTTTTTTTTTTTTTTTTTAGTAATCTCAAGAAAACCGAAGACAGAAAACAGAATTTAGAAGATCTTCTCAACTCTCTTGGTCAAAAAGTGTCAGAACTGAAAGATAAGTATGTTGATTTTGTTTATTTCAAGAGGTAAATCAGTGATGATGTTACAATTTGAATATGCTGAGGTCTTTCTGATTAAATGTAGCTTTCTTGATAATGGATATTTATGGAAGAAGACACATTATACTTTCTACATAATCAGTGGACATAAGTACTTTAAACTACAGTTCATCTCTTAGGTCAAATGAATTCCTGCTTCAAAGTACTTGATTCTCGCTACACACTTTGCTAGCACCTTTAAGTGTAGACACTGAAGACAGCAATTAAAAAAGCAGAGAGAATCCCACAATTCACATCTCTGTAGGTTTTTTGTTAGGAGTTTGGAAACATTTCTGTACAAGACTTCTATTAATCACAACTTGAACAAAGCCTGTTCTATTTCTGTTAGGTTCGTGCTGGTCTACTTTTCTGATGTTTAGCTAGGTAGCTGTCTCCATTTCTTTAAACACATCATCAAGTACTTGGCACACTGTGCCATAAAATTGCTATGGTGAACTTTTTATACTTTTTCCAAATTCAGTTTGATCCTTTCAGATTTATTTTTCTAATTGATTGTTTAAGTGACAGCACAGCCTGATGTCTGCACATGAGATGTTTTAGAAAACCTAGACACTGTTTCTTTTTTATGTTATGTTAATTTTAAAAAATATTTTTTAAATACAATAATTAATCATACATTAAACTTTATAAAAGAAATGGAAACCTTGCTTATTTATTGGCACATGTTCTTACCTCTTAGTAGGCTACAAAATAGAGTACTGTGCATTGAATTAGGCTCATATGTAAATTAGAAGTTTTATCTTTTAAAATTTTTATAGGGCAATTTACCAAAAAATTACAAATCTGTATTATGACATTGAGCCTACTATTGTTACGACTAGGCACATAACAAGGCTAAACATTAACTACTATTATCAAGTTAGACTATCTAAATGGAGGAAGAAACTATTTGGCAGACATTGTGTTTTACATTGAAAATGTAATTTTAAATCTCACCAATACCTCTTAAATTTTGTTAGTGAAAAAATGAATGTGCTTATATGTCAAAGAAGCATAAAGTACAAAAGGGAATTGTAGTAGCTGTGTTCTTTGTTAACAATAATGGAGGACCTCCTGAAGGTTCAGTTGGAATGCTTTGAAAACTCTTCATCAGTTTGGTAATTCTTGCAATTACTAACAGTAATCGTTTTACAGATTTCAGAGTAGAACAACAGAAGCAGCAAAACTTGAAGCAGAACTTAACAAAGCTCATAAAACCCTGAAAGCTGCAGAGGTACTAATAAGTCAACTGGATAGAGAACACAAAAGATGGAACGCCCAGGTTAGTGAAAATTTTCATAAAATTCATGTTATAACAGATATTTTTACCCTGTAGATAGTGGGTTATCAGCATTTTGCTGGTCTTGTAAGTGTACATTTATATGACTCATCAGAAAGAAAACTTCTTTTTATTTCACTGTACAGGTTTGCTTATCTATATCAGATAGGTACAGAATGTGTAAAAAATTCATTATTTGGTATAGACCATTTATTTATTTATTTATTTATTACTATTTTCAGTCCCAATAATAATTGTTAATATGACCGAACTTTTCAGCATTTTCACTGTCCAACTTGTGACACAGATATAAGGGACACATATTTGGAAAGCATTGAACAATCATTATCTCAAAATTAATCACTTATATCTATCTGGAAAACACAAATGTAGACCTAAGCAAAATTTTGTGATGCTTTTGAAATCTTTAGTTATGTGTTTGCAAACTTTTCTGCTTCTAAATTTTGGAAACTTCATCTTATTAGGTGAAATGATATTTTGGGTTGAAACTGACAAGCCTTTGGGCTTGCCATGCAAGCCATTTTTCAGTCTGCAACAGAGAAGGTAAATTTCAAGCTACAAACAAATTGAAAACGGCTGTCGTGCAGAAAGTGATACCTAGCTCTCTCTATTGGCACCAGAGTGTTATTAAACTTAGCTGAAGTGCTTGTATTTTGAAGAGTTAAGATTAGATGAATCCTTCTCATAGAACAGCCAGTTTCATAAAAGGAAATTATCCTAACTAGAAGGTATGAGTCTATATTTGGGAAGCCGCGAGTAGTTTTACAAATACCTCATTTGTGATACCAAGTAGGGATTGGATATAGTGATCCCCAAGTTTAAAGACTTCCAAAAAATGATTCTTTATAGTTTTTTACTCTGGCACATCACACCTGTCTTGGAAAATTTTGGAGTATCCTAATAGCTGCATACTGTATGTATACTATATATACAGATACTCATATGTGGCAAACTGAAACCAGACTCATAGGTCTTAGTGGCTGAATTCTCAAAAACATCTACCCATAATCTAGCACAGAGCTAAAAAGAACTTTTTCTGCATTTTCATGTCTGTGTTATAGTGGGTTAACTAGGTATAGGAATCTAAAATGCAAATTGTATTGTCAGTGACAGGCAAATATCATTCCAACTTTTTAAAACTTCTGAGAAATTTCAACACATTATTTATTTTATATATACCTATACATTCCAAACTTTTGTCTTTTAAGGTGTCAGAGATAACAGATGAACTGGCTACATTGCCTAAAAGAGCTCAATTAGCAGCTGCATTTATTACCTATCTTTCTGCTGCTCCAGAGGACCAGAGAAAAGCCAGCTTGGATGAATGGATGAAATCAGCAGACCTTGAAAGTAATATCTTTGTTTGTTTGTTTTCTTTTTCTTTTTTTTTTTTTTAGGGAATTAATCAACATACAGTAAGTGGGAAATGTTAGTAAGTTCTAATCAACAGTGTCATTTGTCTTGATGTTCTCAAATATGTAACAACATGTATTTTTACTCAGGTAAAAGTTGCACATACAGGCAGAGAATTTCTTGTGATAGTTCTATTAATGCTTATAAATTGTTAAAATTTATCCACACCAGTATTTGCTGGAAAGAAAAGTTTATATGAATGAATCTTTTCACAGTGAATGTTAGGATTCTGCAGGCTTCTGCTTTTTCAGTAATCATTTTTAAGGAATATGTATTAGTAGCACCATTAATATATTCTTTATAACATCAGTCAATAGCAATGACTTGCAAGCAGCAAAATAAAATTGTGAGGGAAAATATATGCTTACACTATGTTGGCAGGATCTCTAATGCATCTCAAGTGGTGAAAAAAATGTGGACTATAAATATTCACACAAACTTATAAATATGAATGATTTTATTTGCCAGAGTTTGATGTAAGACGGTTCCTGTGCACAGAAAGTGAGGAATTAGTCTGGAAAAGTGAAGGTTTACCCTCAGATGATCTTTCAATAGAAAATGCTCTTGTTATCTTGCAGGTAAATTTGTGTCTGTATTTTGTTTTGGAAGTATTTCAGTTTTTAAAGATTTCTATAACATCTTTCTGAATCTCTAAACGCCTTCAATTTTGTTATTTTGTTAGCACTCTCAAACATGTAAACAGAAGCAATCATGTTTATGTACATGACTATAGTTCCAAATTTGTTATTTTTTGTCATTCTGTTATTAGTCTATACAGTCTCTTTTAACAGTTTGTTTAAAACAAAAAGATATTAAAATGACCAAAACCTTAGTTTGGAGAAACAAAGGATTAAATTTTATTCTTAAACAGAAAGTTTTAATAACTACATATATTTTTTCTTCTAGAGCAAAGTTTGCCCATTTCTGATAGATCCTTCATTCAGGGCTACAGAATGGCTGAAGACACATTTGAAAGAATCACGTTTGGAAGTTATTAACCAGCAGGTCCAGTACTTACTCTTGGTCTTACTTTTCTGTTCTGCCCTATTCAAACTTCAGAGAAAAGTTTATTAGAGGGTGTAATGTGGTCTAATGGGACTCTATTTGGATTGTATAATTTCTCACAGAATTTGAGATTAAAATGATTATATATACAAGCTCAGTATTTCAGTAATACTGAGATCCATTTTAACAATATATAAGATCACAAAATTGTATTCAAAATGAGTATGAATTAATTGTTTTCAAAAGGTCAATTGTCAATCTGCATTTTACTTTTTTATTTTAAAAGTGTGTGCTTATACAGTTCAAAAATTTGATCCTATATTTTTGAACAATGAAGTCAGAGTATTTAAGACTGGGACATCAACATTTAGTGTTACCTCTACAAGCTTGCCTCTCTGTGCTTCCCTGTCCAAGACTGTTGTTATTTTCTGAAGAGATGGAGGTGCTAAAAGATTTTTAAATTAGAGAGGTCTTTCATATTCTTGGTTTCAGTTTGAACTGTTTCTCTGTCCAAGGAGTCTATATGTGCTTTTTTGATGTAATTTTTTCACTGTATTATATGTTTGTAAATGTTAGATTGGGCTTCAGTTGGTTTTTAGGACAGCTGGGGTTAATTTTGTACACATAAATATTCACGTGCTTGTTGGAGCCTTCGTTCAGTTACACATAAGCAGACTTCTTGTGCCAGCTGAGGTTCCTTAGTGAATCTCAGCTGACCTCAGGGTGTTGTTGCAACAAAATTGAGATCTTTCACAATTCCCTGCCAGCTTCATGAAGATGTTTTGGATACCCTAGAATGGCACTGGATGTCTGATCAATTGAATGCTCCTCCTGCAAGCTAGTTGGCTTGATTGGTTTTTAGAATCTGTTAATTGAGTTTTCCAGGATCTCCATTGACCATAATAAACATCAAATGCATATTTAGATACCTACAGTGTCTAAAATCAAACTTCAGAGAATTTGAAACCCGTTCATTTAGATACTTCATTACCAGTAAGTTTTAATTTAGTTTTGACCCATATCTCACTAGTAAGTAGCTACCAAACCTTGCAGGTGGGCCTGACAGCTGTGGCAGAGGACCCAGGGTAGAGCTGCACTTCTGGCGCACAGCTGGAAACTAAGCATCCAAAATAGTTTGTCTATATTTCAGTAGGTGAATCGAGTCCTTAATATCAGACGTAGTAATACTTATTTGTTATGTCTTCCTGTTCGTTGTTAAAAAGATTCTACAGCTTTGGTGCATTTCTTCACTGTTAAGTTATCAGCATATTAATACTTAAAATAACATGATCAAAGGTTATTAATATTATTATTATTTGGTTATCAGGACACCAACTTCCTAACTACTCTTGAGCTGGCAGTGAGATTTGGGAAGACACTTATTATACAGGAAGTGGATGGAGTAGAACCTGTTCTTTATCCTTTGTTAAGGAAAGATCTTGTTGCTGAAGGTAAATGTTCAACATCTTTAAAAGTGCATATTCTAAATGTTTGTAGGTTTGGAATATATGCATCATATAAAACCTAATTCTTCTGGAAACAAGAACATTGCTTATGTTTCTGCTTTAATATTAATGTGTTGTTAACATTTTAGTACATGAAATACATTGGTGGTATGTTCTTGTTTGTTAGGGGAGAAATACTGAAAAGTACTTAATGATACTTTAAGTTTAATTAAAATAGGTTATTTTTATCAACTCTGCACAGTTTAACTGTTAAATTCATTTGTAGTGGTAATTTCAAACAGATACTTTTGCTTATAAACTTGGACCTTAAATAGGTGAGAAATTACATGACTGACTGTGCAGTTAGAAATTAGTGTTTTCAGATGTCACTCTTTCTCAAAGGTGCACAGAATTATTTCTGAGATTATATTAGAATGGAGGATCAATAAACACAGTGGTAGAATTCAGTGGAAAGGAATTTCTTTATCTGATGCAGTGAAAGGAAACAAAAATACTTATATATTTTACATTACCTTCATGGGAAACAGCTTTGGATTCCAATGTTTTTAAAAGGCTGATATGAAAAAACTGTCAAAGGTTTAGCTAAGATAATAGTAAGAATATTGGTATCTTAGTATGAATTATGTTGCCTGTTTTGAAATTATATCTAAACAACTGAATGAATGAGGAAAAAAATACAACAATACATATCTTTAAATACTTTCCAAATTATTATAATTAAAATATACTTACATTCTCCTGAATATTGCATTTTTACCTCAAACATTAGTTGCTCAGCATGTAGCACAGCTGGTACATGTAATTTACAGCATGGAGTTTGAGCACTGAAAATAGTTCAAGACCCCTTATGGCTGTCATTTTATCCAGCAAAATATTGCAATCTAATAATGTGTGAGGCAACGGTAAATCTGTAATCATAAATACATAATAAAAATAAATTAAAACACTCTACATCTGCTTAAATAGAGTTATCCCCTATAGAGACAGATTTTTCTTTAAAAAAAGACAATTTTACTACAGTTACCATTCTTCTATTAGGGTTGTGCTTCCCTCTTTGTCCTCAGTAGAGGAGGAGAGCATCACCAGCTAGTGACTTAAAGGATGTACAGGAGCCAGGACATCTTCACTGCTGGTGGATTTCACTAGCTTCTGCTGGGCTTTGGGAAGCAGAGATACAATATTACCTGCATCTCAACTGATTTTACTGAAAGAATCAAATTAATAGGTGAAGATGTCTGCACAACTCTGGAGAAAGCATATTAAGTTAAAATATACAATTTTATTCACTGGATTTGCTGATAATACCTTAGGTGGCCTCTTTGCTCTGACAGTGCTAGGTCTTTGCAAGTCTAACTAGGAAGTTGTTTTTTGAAAAGTGAGAAGTAGCTGTTGTTTGGACTCCCCTTCACTTGTAAGTACCCTCTTGTTAGCCAAAATGTGGAGGTTGTAGTGGGGGAAGAGGCCTCTGCATTATTTTGCTTATGAAGACTGTGCATGTTTTCATTACCTGTTAAGATAAATGTGAATTTATATACTTCAGTGATTTTGTCCTTGTACAGCTGCCATTTTCTCCTTGACATTTTTACAGCATAGATCTAAAATTTATGTTGGTCTTTGGCATCAAGGCAAAATTGGTATGTTGTTTTCATCTGTACCAGTGTTTTAGCAAGAGATTTATTCTTACAGTATTTTTGAGTTTCTGCTTCTAATGCTAAAAGCAGAGAAAGCAGAGAAGCACCCAACTGTTCCACCTCAGAACCATCTCTGGATAAGAATTTTGATTTCAAAGCTATTCATGTTATAATTCTATTCCTTTTTCAGTATCATGAGGGGAAAACTTTACTCTGGTTCCCAAATTGTCAAAAGTTATTCTTTTTAATCTACATAGCTAAAATAAAAATTTTCCATAATGGAAAGAGGGTGATGAGAGGCCATAAATATAATTTCATTCTAAAACAAGCATACTGAAAAATGCCAGGAAACTAAGAGTATAAACCAAGAGTAAAACCATGACAACAGAAATTACATGAGTTGTTTCTTGCCTGATGTAATTGAAATAATTTATTATAATATACCTATGTATATATTTATACATAAACTATATTTATATTCAATTATTTTAATATGAATTATATTAATCATTTATTATTTCTTTATTATTTCTTTATAAATAATTTATAAATAAGTTTAATATTTTAATAGTCATAAAATATTACACAAATAATAGTTATTTTTAGATAATTGTAGGATATTTGGATCAGAATATCATTTATATTTATTATTTACAGGACCTCGTTATGCTATACAGATAGGTGATAAAATGATAGATTATAATGAAGAATTTCGTCTTTTTCTATCAACAAGGAACCCAAATCCCTACATTCCACCTGATGCTTCTTCTATTGTTACTGAAGTAAACTTTACCACAACAAGAAGTGGTTTAAGAGGACAGGTAGGTGTATAGAATAATAACAGTGTATTTATATTGGACATTTATAGATATATCCATATTCTGATAGAAGCCCCATGACCCACTTTGCATTAATGGTCATGGAGATATTTTCTAGATCACAAATGTAAATGGTAAAATCAATATTGATTCTAAATTGACCTTTTAAATTTTGTTTTCATGCACTTTGGAACCAAGTAATAATTCCAAGAGATGTAACAAAATTTACTCATTCTGTAAAGAAATTGGAAACTATTTCATTGGCTTCAGTTACAATAGATTATTCTCTAAAATTCTGGTTTTCGTTCATTTATGATACTGTGGAATTATTAATACTGTTTCTCTCCAGTGTCTTAGTCAAACAATGTTGCTTACTCGCAAAAAAAATGTAATGAAATGAAAAGGCTCTATATTTCACTTCCTCCAAAATGCTAGGTTTTATCTGAAATATTTAGGAAAAAAACTGTAGAGTGCAGATAGAAAAAAAAATGAAATTAAGAGGAAAGATGTTTTTAGCTGTTATGAAACCTTTTTTTTCCCTCAAGCTAACAGAGAATAGAAACTAAATAAGGCAGTAATAAGTAAGATGTGATTCAAAATGTTAAGTGCAGATAGACATATGACTTTCTACCCTTCATTGGAGATAGGGAAGTGTCATACAGTATTAGCAAGTAAATTTGCCCCCTTTTTCATATATTTGTTGGAAGGAACTTCACTGCCAGTGTTTCCCAGTGTGAGCTTTCTGTCTCCTTTTGCATATTATGAGAGTATCATTACATATTTTTTTTACATATTATTTACATATTACATATTATAGCAATATGCATACGTATAAAGACTGTAAAGTTTAAACTCAAGTGAGATTCCAGCTAAGGTGAGAAGGGTGAGAAGGATCTCAGAGTAAAAAGGTGTGAATCGGTGTCTGTATTAAAATCATCTAGTGCCTTCTGAAATGCCCCAGGGTATCTCAACTTGGCTGACAAGGTTATGGCTCACTGCAGTTCTTCAGCTGTATTTTCCATTGTAGGGTATCACAGACGTCTACACACATTTGGAAAACATTTTGTCTGGTGAAAAACCCTCAGAAATCTACTTTCAAAAGTTTGAGATATACACTGCTGTATGATTAATGAATATATATTATGAAATATATATTTTTGTTTTGTCTTATTTAATAAATTGTTCTATTTTTAGCTTTTGGCTATAACTATTCAGCACGAAAAACCTGATTTGGAGGAGCAGAAGACAAAACTGTTACAGCAAGAAGAAGACAAGAAGATACAGTTAGCTAAACTTGAGGAATCTCTGTTGGAGGTAAAATAAATTTAACTTTTTTATGTCTTTTACATCAATATGGTAGATTTAATGCTGTTAGTGTTTAAATGCAGATGATGAAAATATTGAGAATAATGAGCTGTCAGACTTTTTGATTTGAGAAAATAGAAGCATCATTTACCCAGGGTTTTTGGAGACATAAAGAGAGAAAATATGCAACTTTTGTGAACCTGCAAAACTTCACTGGGCTTAGCATCATCAAAATTGAATACCTGAATTGTTGGGATAGTAATAATTTAATGCATTTGAAAAAAATGTTTAAAAAAACAATACTAGATAAATAGAACTACTAATCACTTGCTTTTCTAAAAAGTTCTATAGTTGTGACTACTCTTTTAAAAAGACTTAAGAAATGTAGATAACTTGACTGTATCTTGCAAATATTTCTTATTAAAATGTTTTGATGGCATTAAGATAATACAATTACAGATGTATCTGTTAGGTAATTTCAGAAAGAAAGATAATAAGGTTACTGCCTAATGTGCATCAGACTTGTTTCTTTTTCACCTACAGCTGAAGTGAGCTGAAGCAATTGTCTGTACTGAAAATTAGTAAAAATGTTATATGACTTATTCAAGCTCTTCTCATTTCTTATTAGATTAACTAAAGCATTTGCACAGGGAGACCTAGGAAATAAAGGGTAATCACAATGCTTTTGAAGATCACTGATTAATAAAATGGAATTCTTGTTATTGTGAATGTTCTTCTCAGTTGAAAATGAGAACTAATTCATATAAAAGAGATTGTCTAAGTAGGAAAAATTGTTACCATTAGACATTTTCAGGTCAAAATAGTAATTACAAAAAAAAAAACAAAAAAAAACAAACAAAAAAACCTCCTCTGACATTTCTGTTTACCTTGATAATGCTGGTGCATAAGAGTTTGATCATAGAAACAATTTCTCAAAAGCTTATTGAAAACTTATGATTCAGAAAACATTAGCATTCTGGATTTTGATAGTTTGTTGTCAGGTTGTTTCATTTTACAATTTTCTTTAGTATATCTTGGTTTGTGGACTTTCCATTTGCTTCCCTACTCTTTTGATCCCTGTAGTGATTCAGAAATTTTTAGAGATCAGAAAGAAGAATGGCTTCCAGTAAGGTTAATTTATGTTTTTTTTGATTGTAGCTTTATAAGTATTTTTTTTTCAGACACTTGCAACATCACAAGGCAATATACTAGAAAATAAGGATCTGATTGAGTCTTTGAATCAGACTAAAGCAAGTAGTGCACTCATCCAAGAGTCACTTGTGGAATCTCAGAGACTTCAGAGTTTTCTTGATCAGGTAAAATTTTTTTAAAAAGTAATCTTGTCCTGCTGCTTTTCTCCTGCTAAAAAATAGCTCTTTGTTGTATGTATTACTAGATGAATCTTGTAAAAAGAATAATAAAATGCTTTTTTTGTTGTTGTTGGATAAATTAGTTCCTGATTAATTTGCCCAAGTTATATTTTCAGTTTTTATAATGTTTCTTTGCTTTGGGTGTAAAAAAAAAAAAAAGCCTGAAATGAGAATATTCATGTCTGATTTTCAAAGTTGGACAAGTATGAAATGCTAGTTCCTCTAAAATAATGGATCTTCTGTTATAAATGTCAGTGACCCAAAAAATTTCATCCCAATTACAGACATACAAGATTACTATGATGAGAAATTCCTCTTCTGAAGGAAGAGGTAATTGACATGTGCAAGTACAATGATTAGCAATTAGTAATTATTTTTTTTTACGCTTGCTAAATATCTACACAATTTGAAGAAGCCTGCCCGTTGAATTATATGAATTTTCCCCAGGGTCTTCTTGGTGTATAATGGATTTTGATTTTGTTTGATATTTTGCCTTCTGCTCTTGGAAATAACATGGCTGACTTTTGACTTTTACGGGTCATATGGACATTGTTTTTAAAAAATCTCTTGCTAGTGCAAAAGTTGAAAGAAGATATGAGGCTATTCTTTTACCTTCATGTCTTTTATTAAACTTTACAGATTTTTGTATTTTATTCTGATCTGTTAAATTATAAAGTGGCTATTGAGTTTTGGGAAATGTTCTGTGCTGGGAACATGCTTCAGTGACCCAAAAAATTCTTCATTCCAAAATATTATTGAAAAATAATTAAAAATAATATACTTTAAAAAAGTAAAAATAATAAAGGCAGTGTTGATGTCTGGGGTGTTTGTCCCTCCTTTTGAGGATTAGGAAATGATTCTGTTTTCTAAATCAGTGGAATTAATCTATTTTTTCCTAGGTAAGTATTACAATATGCAATAACCGATAGGTGGCAGTAACAGACTGATTTTGATTATTGTTTCCTTTTATCCACAGGAGCGAGATGCCTATCTCCCGTTAGCTGAGAGTGCTAGCAAGATGTACTTTATTATTTCTGACTTGTCCAAAATTAATAACATGTACCGTTTTAGTTTGGCGGCTTTCCTACGACTTTTTGAGAGAGCTCTTCAAAATGAGCAGGTATTCGATTTTTCTGCTACATTCACAGCTTCAGGAAAAGAAGAATCTTCTTTGTTCTTTAGAATTTAGGAGTTGCTGTGAGGATTTTTAGAGAATGCCATATAAAAAGTAGTAGTGGCTAACTATTGTGATAACGATATTTAGAACATGTGACAATTTTTTATGTTACTTACATGATATATGAATTATAAATTGCTGCACCATCTGAAAACTAAGCAATTCCTGTTTGCAATTTCAGGCATTTTATTTGTTTAAGATTAAAACAAATTAGGAAACCCAAGGCTGATAACAACTTCAATTTATTTAAATAAAGTCTTCGGTAATGACCTAATGTGCAAAGAAAGCTGATTCTGTCAGCAAGAATTAGAATAATAAAAGATCCATAATTTTACATGGTTCAATATTTGAAAGAAGATCAAAACCTTTATCTATTTGTTTTATATAGCCTGTAAGCTTTTGAGCAGCCTGTGCTTTTCTCCTTTTTACCTTTCTTTTCTTCTACCTTTTTTTTTGGTATTCTAGTGGCCAGTATCTTCTTATTGAAGCACATTTTTGATTTCATCTCTTATCACCTTGTTCTTTAGAAGTAATGATGCATCTTCTTTTTGTTTGACTTTTTGTTTTGCTCTCCAAAGTCCATCATTTTGCTTTTGTTTCCAAAATCTTACAGATTCATTATATTTTAAAAGACATAATGTTCAAGGTCAAATGTTCAATTCTTAAAGCTTATGTATAAACACATCATCATCACATTGGGTGCTGCATGTGAGCTCAGTGGAAAAAATCATGTTTTCAGAAATAATGGATGCCACATAGAGACCAGGTTTTATTTCATTCTAGGGTTTTTTTTATTAAGAATTAACATTTGAAAAGAAAAAAAGGTACATAAAATGATTTTTTATTTCAGATGAATTTTAAGTCCAAATTTTATTTTTAGACTTCAGGTAATACTGAAGAAAGAATGAAGTCCCTTATTGAGTCATTGAAGCATATGGTCTATGAATACGTTTGTCGTTGTTTGTTTAAGGTAAGATTATTTTTTTCCTGTTTTTTTTTTTTTTTTTTAGTGCACAGTTCATTGGGTTTAAAACAGTTCTTTCATCAACAAAACTTGGTCTACTTCAGATACGAAATGTTGTGTCAGTACATATATAATGCATACAAAAAATTAAAAGTTCAATAATTAAACATGTAAAATTGAGCATTGAAAATTAAGGTAAGACATTGAAATTGCTTGTGCACATTTCTTTACAGTTCAATTTTTTTAATGAACAAAGACTTTTTAATCTACTTATCTCTGCTTGACCTTTAGCTCTTCATCTCTGTATCATTCTAGTTATTTAGCATGTCCTGGGTTTCTCAGTCTTCTGAGCAGTCTTCATTCTATTCAAACTTATTTCTAGCATTTCTTAAGTAAGAATTTTTGATCTAGCAGTCATTATGAAAGTTTGTGCATTTACATGTTTTTTTTTTAAAAAAAAAGGAAACCAGAATATGGAAATATTCTCTCTCTTCTTTTACTTCCTTCCTCAAATTTCTACCTGCTGATATTTATTTCTCCATCTGTTCCCCTGTTCTTCCATATAATGTTTTTAGTGTATTTCTTGTTTGCTCAGCATTGAAATTAGATGGCTTCTTGCTGTCTTAGTGAATGCCTATGGTAGGTAATGCCTCTCACGTTCAGTTTTAATTCTTACTTTCACATAGAGCAATTATATCAGGAAGTGTTTGTTTTGTTAGCAGCAAGTACTAACATACTAATAATACACATAGATCATTTGGGCAGCAGAAGAAATTATACAAGTCTGGAGCTTGATTAGTGAGAATGGAGAAATGTGGGGAGATTTAGGATGCAAAATAGTGTTATTGATAAGGGTTATGGTTTGTCAAACTTTTGGTGGATTTCCATGAACTTGGAAGAAGGCAAATTCCTGAGTCATGAGTCTGTAATGTTATTTTTATGTGTTGGAAAAGATTTTGAAAACAAAGTGCAAATGGGAGATTTCAAGTTTGAAAGATTTTAAATTTAAATTGGTATTTAGAAGATATTAAAAATGTAAGAATTTCATGCCAGACCAATAGTCCGCCTAGAATAAGATGTGTTCTGACAGGGACTTTTGAGAGAAAATAATAAACTGTTCATTCATCTATGCAAATTTTGCCTTTTATCCAAGCAGATTCTTCCCCCTTTTTTATATATAGTTAGATGTAGCAATTAGATTAACATTGGTCTCTAGTTTTCAGACATATGTAGTGATTTTGAATTAGGAAATGTGTCACTATGCCTCTACTATGAATTACAGGTGTTTAATTAGTGAAATTTTGTTAGTTAACTTTACTCACGAGAAAAGGAGAAAAGCGACATGTGCTGAGTATATAAATACATTTCTTTCTGCTTTTATTTCAGGCTGACCAGCTGATGTTTGCTCTACATTTTGTACGAGGAATGCACCCTGAACTCTTTGAAGAGAATGTAAGTAGTGAAGAAGAAAATTACCCGTGTGATTTACTTAAACTTGAGCCGAGGAGTAAATAATTAGATTAAAAATCTTTCTCAGTAAAAATAAGACTTAAGATATGAGATTTGTGTGCTTGTATGGTAAGCACATGATAGGTAATTTACAAAAATTATGGATGTTAAAATTTTATGTATTAGGTTCAGAGTTGAAGATTATCATGAGAAAGGTGAGTAGAAGGTTGCTTTCCAAACAGGGATCTGAAAAAAAGATGCTTGTGTGACCTAATTTTTCTTGGGCCGGAACATGTAATTTCGTTCTGGAGGGCTCTTGCATTTTTTTTGCAGGGGCCGTATGAGTGCTTCCTCTGATTATGTGGCTCAATATTTATCTATGATTTTAGAAAATATAAACATTTCTCCATAAATAAAGATGAATATACGTCTGTTTTGCTTATTTTAACTGAGGTTTGTTCATACATCCTCCCTTGGTGTGGATAAGCAGAAAACAAAATTCAAGAGAGAAATTAGTCTGATTCTGCTACTCACTGTTGTAGACACTTAGCACAAAAGGTCTTCCTGGCAGGAGAAGTAATGAGATTATCTTTTGTGCATTTTATCCAACGATTCTTCAGTGCTTAATACTGAAAAAATCCTGGGGCTGGTGATGAGACAGTGTCCTTTTGGAGTAACTGCATTCTTTGCACCGTAGTGGTCCATCTTTGATTGGAATGGTGTTTCATCCTGGATTAGATTTTGGATAATAGTCTACGATATATTTGGTATAGATTCAAACCTCATTTAGTAACAAATGGCTGTCCCTCCCATTTTGAGGCAAGTCTTGTATTACTTGTTATTCATAAAAAGAAGGGAGGTGTCACATGACATTTCTATTTGACGTTGGTCTGAATAAAGCCTAATCTGAAAATTCCTAATTTATGTTATATTTAACTGTGTTTAGAGGCTGTCCTACTCACAAAAAAAAAAAATATCCAACAGAGCTAAGATAGTGCTAAATCCCGTTTTCAAGATGCTGTGCACTTCTCAGTAATAGCATGCTGAGAATAGCATGCTGAGTAATGCATAGAGTGGACTCTTTGCGTGTTAGGTCATACTTTTGCTCAAATTAGAAGGCCACAGTGAAATCGGTGTCTCCAGCAAGATGGTGCTTTTGGGGGTCATGAACAGTCAGAATTGGTAACTAAGATTAAATTAATCTGTTTACCCTAGACTGTCTTATCAGAAACAGGAAAAACAGTCACTTCAAGGAAGCAATTAATTTAATCATAAATGAGTTTTCAAAAATAGGTCAGATGATTATTCCTTAAAATTGCCTGCTTCTATGCGCTGCATTTAAAAGTAGCCCAGATTAACTGTCTCAGAGATGCCAGTATTTTAGTTGTCTACTACATAATGAAGTTAATTCTATAAATTCTGCATGCAGTGAAACATATGTATAATAGACTCAATACAGTTGCTTAGGTATGGCTGAGTAGTGTACATAATGAATACCTCTGAGTACCCATAATTTTCTATAATAGAAGCTGGAGATGGCTGTAGGTTTCAACTGGTTAGAATAGAGCCCAATCCAGTGAAGAGGATGAAAATCAGATAATTTGAAGGAAGCAATGCAACTTGATAATATGGAGGCTATGGGACTAATGTAAAAGATTTAAGAAACATTTATCAAAATTTCTTGATTAATACAGTGTAGTTCTGTGTCAGACATGGATTGACTAAGTGAATTCCCAAAATTTTTTTTTAGTGGGGCCGCTTGATAAAGATAATTCAAATTAAACTCATTAGTAGAGACACACACTGACTACTCTTCATTGTTAGAACTTTCCTAACTCATATGTATTAATTCTTTTCAGCTTCTGAAAGTATCCTGCATGTTTTTTTGTATCCTTGAGTTTGAAAATGTATCAAGGTAGAAGCTGGCAAATACTTTTCTGACTATATTAAAACCTGCCTACATAGACTTAAGTTTCTGTGAGCACTGTTTTATGTCTTTATTCCTACCATTTAGCAAGTATTTCCGGTTCTTAACCAGCTTAATATAGGTTATATCTGATGCGTTTTCCAGCAATATCTGAATATACTCAAGAATTTAAACAAGTGAATAATATCAATATTTTTCTTCTTTAAACATAGAAATTATTTTAATTAGATCGTTGGGGAAAAGAGAGATTGTACAAACTGTGTATTGAGGAAAATGACAATGAAATAGTTATTCTTTGAAAGCTATGTCTTTTGAACCTTTTAGCATGGTCATGTGAGTGAGTTACCATGGTGCTGGAGAATTTTGTACATGTCCTTACTGCAGGAGAGTCCTACCTCCCTCCTTTCTGGATACGTATACTAAGTTTAAAAGATTTAGTTCCGCACATATATTTCCCCTTTCCCAATGAAACGGAATTATACATGATATCAACCTAGTGCAGTAAATATGACTTCTGTTTTAGTAATTGCAACTTTTGCATACAGCAGCATGAAACAATATTGAAACATGAACTGGGTGCTTACCTGTTTTATGTGACCACTTGTTACCGAACCATGCACAGTTGTTACCAGCCCCCACAGGGCTCTGTCCTTGCCAGCTGTGTGTGTTCACAACAGACTTCTTCCTGGTCTGTTGTTGCGTGCCTGGGTGGGAGCTGCAGTGACTGAGGAAGGCTGGGCTTTCTCTTTTTCTCTCTTTTCTTATAAAGTATTCCGATCATTTAGCTTGGATTCTGCAAAAAGAAATGCATACTTTTAATATGGCCTAGAGTTTAAAAATGTCTTAGGAATCAGAATCTAAGATTTATTTTGCATATCTTCTGAATTCCTTTTGTTTTGCCAACATAATACTGTGCATTAATCTTTATTCTTTAAGATACCCTGAGGCTTCTCTGAGTTGTTTATTTTTCCCCTCTAGGAATGGGACACTTTTACAGGTGTGATCATTGGAGATACCATAAAAAAATCGGTAAGTTACATTTATTTGTGAATATTGAAACAAAAAGATTAATTAAATCCTGAAAGGTTGTGTTTGTGTACTTACTATATTGTTTTATTAATTGTATTCATATAGAACAATTAACTTTTTACATAGTAATAGTTAACATAGTAGTAAAGCTTGATGGAAATGAGCTACTCTGACCATGAATGAGAGCAGATGTGCAACATAAGGGGCTGAGCTACGTTTTTCATCTTAAGAATTTCTTCCATCTCTGACATCCAAGGATGCAGCAGAGCTCTGGCCAAATTTTGCCAGTGCAGAGGTGCCTAGGAGTGATGCTTTGTCTGGTCAGTTATCCAGAACTGCACTTTGTTTGAAGAACTTGTTCATGACTATGAACATGTTCAGCGGAGTAATCTTTCAAGTCACTTGTTCAGAGTGCATATGCAAATGGCCAATCATGTGAATCACTTGTTTTTAATAGAAATCTTCTTAGAGTGTGAATATGACATACAGATACTCTAAATAATAGAATATTTTAAAGCTGAAATACTTAACCAAATGTTGATGGAAACAATTTATTTCAAATTAAATTTATTGGTAGCTCTTGTTTTGTTATACCACTTATTCATTATTACGTAAAATAACATGGAAAGAGTTCTGAGAAGATTTTTATCAGTTGCCTTTGTTTGATTATGTGTTTTTTTCAAATAAAATATTTTTACATATAATGTATAATTTAATAAGGATTCACAAAGGAGCGTTCGTGACCAGCTTCCCCCTTGGATAGAACAGGAGCGAGCCTGGGCCATAGCATCTTTGAAGGTATAGATCACATAATAATTTGAACTTAACTTAGTCTCTGGTTTTAGAAAATAGTAATTTGGACTACTCAAATATTTGGAATTTTAGAATTTGAACTACTCAAATATTTGGAAACTCAAATATTTGTCAGATGAAAATGTTTTGTTATTTATTATTATCTTCTAGAAATCTAATATGTCCTCACTTGGAAAATTACCAACTTATTAATAATTTTATTTCATCCCAATTTTATGAGCTTTTTTATGTGGTTCTTTACCCCATATAACTATGTATTTTAATTAATGTAAATGACCCTGTGAATGAATTTTACCAAGATTGGGAAATATTGTAAGTCTGTAAAGCCTATAAAAGATTATTATGATTTTTAAAGACAGAAAAATATACAGAGAGAAAAACTGCAAAGAATGTTAAAGTTGCAGGTTTTTGTTATGTAGTGGCTTTTTCACAACTTTAACAAACTACTTTTTATTGAATTAGATGCCATAGATGTTTAAACGGGAAACTAGTTTTCTAATTATCAGATTTCCATTTCAGAGTTAGGTGTATCAACTAACTTCATATTAAAACCAACCAATGTTTATTTGCTTTAATTCTTCCTGCAACAGTCTGTGTTGATGTCTGATGATCTGAGCAGGACTAAGTGAAAATATAAATCCCTGAAATTCTGTCTGGAGGCTTTTTGTCTCCTGCATATACCTCAGCAGCAGGAAGGAAGAGCGCTGGTCTTGGGCAAGGACTTGGGCTGCTAAACCCAGAGATTGTTATCTTTCATTTCTCTTTATGAGGGATCAGGAACAATTGCAATAGGAAGCATCGTTGTTAGTCAGGGGCAAAGTTTTGTTAGGGACCAAAGTTTTAAAACAGAGCCTAAAAATTAAAAAAAAAATACAGAGAAAATACAAACTTAGCATTTTTAGGAAATATACAAGTGGTTGATTTTAAATCGTACCTTTCATTCTTTACCTCTGATGATCAATTTAATAAAAAAATGTATAGTATGTATGAGTATTTCCATGATTAGAGTCGTAGTCATATTTGTTAATTACTTAAATTATTCTATGTCCAAATGGCTACTGTTTATTATTAAATATTTACTATTTGCTTTTTAGACTTCTCTCCCTGATCTCTATCGGACACTTTGTTTTGAAGATGAAAATCTGTGGCGCACTTTTTATCAGAGCTCTGTGTGTGAACAAGACTTTCCATCTTCCATTGTCAATAGAATTTCTTTATTTCAGCAGGTAATGTTTTAATATAAACTTATTTAAAAATATTTATGATTTTGTCATTGAAAATTTGAGATAAATTTTACATCTTAGGAATTAAGCCTTCAGGCTGTTAAGCAGTAATAATATCTACATTGTTCTATAACTCGAATAGTTTAATTTAATTTAAAATAATATAAGGATTTTTTTCTGCAATATAAGTTTAGTCTTCTGAGTCTGCTATATTGGCTGCAAGTTAACAAGCTCCTTATTAATACTCCCAGATTTAATTTTATGAATAGGAATTAAAATTGTTTCTTGGTTGCTTTGTTACTGCTGAATTGCTCTGCTTGTAGAGCATCATTAATTTAGATTATCATTAAATGTGCAATATGTGCTAATGTGCAATAAATGCACATAAACTTGCATAACTGCCTGAAACCCACAAAAATGCTGTAAAGATCACTGCTTTTTTCAAATTTTATTCATTGAATTACATTTCTGAAAGCTTAGTAATGAAAGAACCCTAGAATATTAGAGAGGGAGGTTCGTTCTAGTTAGGGATCATTCTGCTCTGGAAGAGAAAAATCTCATCCCTCTTATGTTTATGGAGGAAAGGTTGTAGTTACTTACCTTCTAAATACGTTGTGATCTTCACTTGAAGCAGCTTCAAATAAAATTAAGGCCATCTGTATCCAAAGAAGGGTTGGAGCATGTGACCCTCTGGTTTCATGCTGATTTGTGAGAAAAAAAAAAGATTGCTAAAGTGCAGAACAGCAAAACTTAAGATGGGCAATGTGTCATTGTCAAAATTGTTACGTATTTATAGGAACACCGAATCACCAACACATTATGTGCCTAGGTCATTGCATGGAAAGCATGATTGCCCTAATAAAAAGATTCTGAAACTACCTGGTCAGATTTATGTGCCATTGATAAGTTATTTTATTTTATTTTCAATTTGTTTTTAATAACAATACAGATGTATTTCAGAATTTAAAAGTAGTACTTTCTTAAAAATTTTATTAAAGCACTAGTATCTTCCAAAATTAACAAAAATAATTGCAGATTTGGAAAATGGAATATTGTTGTAGGTTCAGAATTGTGTTTTAACACAAATTGTGTTTTACAGAGGTGTAGGTGGGGGAATAGAATCAATAGGGCCAGTGACTTTACTACTGAAGAATTAGTTGCCTCCAGTTTCCTACACTCAACATAATGCAAGAAAGTAACTGAAAATGAGGTAGCCAGAGAGGAATTTTTAATTTATTCTGTATCAGAATTGATCAGTTGCTCATGGTCTGTAGTCTTTCAAGTACTAGAAACATAGAAAATAGACTGTTTCAGGAAAATATGTTAGAGGTGTTATAAAACTCTCAAGTTGCTCTTAAACAGAGGAAATGCTTTCAAAATTGATTTTGACTATATTGCATCAGTAAAAACAAGGCCATTATTTTTTCAGGAAAGAAGTTATGAATACAGGTGTAAATTACAGATGAACAGTATGAACCTAAGTTTATTTTTATATCATTCTAGCTGCCAACATAGCATGTATTTTTTTCCTAATTCCATCTAGTTTAAGTTTAAAGTTTAAAGAAGGTAGATTCTTTTGGAAAAGTCTTGCTTCTTTATTGTCACAAAATTCTTTTACATGCTAAACTGTTCTGAATATTTTTTATTTTGAGGTACTTGTGGTCCAGGCTGTCAGACCAGACAGGCTACAGAGTGCCATGGCTCTTTTTGCATGTAAAGCTCTAGGTAAGTTATTTTTTCACTGGAGTGTTTCCACACGATAAAATCTTATTTTCTCTTGCAGTATGTGTATTTTATTTTATAATTCTTATGGAATTGTTAAGTGTTAGAATTTGGAAAAAAAAATACTGCAAATAGATTTGCTGTTTTTGTTTCTGTAAATTATGGTTATAAAGTGCTTTTCGAATAGTTTGGCCTGCACAGTGTAGTGATTTTAAATTTAGTAAAAGATCTGTCAGATTCTGTTAATGTGTTCTTTAGCACTACAGTAATTAAGAAAGAATGGTTTTGTGCAAGTTTTAAAATGCAGCATTTTGTTTAAAAATTAAATGGGCATTGAGAACCATTTGCAGTGTCAAAAACCTTTACAATCCTAAAGTCTTTACACTCCTAATAAACACAAAATGAATATATGTTTGAAAATTAGTTTTGATCAATTTTTGTCTAACCATCTTGACTGATAGTGATTTTTATCTTTTAGTTCCATCTATTAGGGTCTCTGCATAGGCCAACCCGGTTTGTTACATCCATGTTACAAAGGATTATTCTGTATGGAAACAATAATAGAAGTCTAAGAGCAGACTGATCCCACAAGAAAAAGTACATGGCATCTTCTAGTAGTTGTGGCACAGATGTCACTGATTTACGCTTCTGTATCCTGCTCTGCTTCCTGATGACCCATGTAACTAACACCTGTCTGCCTAAGAACCAGTTTGAAAAGACATTGAAATATGTGGTTAAAATTCTTTGAACTTATAATCCATTTAGACATGTAGTTTGGGGTTTGTGTATAAGTAAGTGCCTTGCTTAAAGCAGGTCAATATTCTTTTTAAGCTACATTAAAGGCTTTCTACATGAGGGGAAAAAAATCACACAGAACAAACAAAAACCTTACAACCAAAACCACAGTAGAAATAGTATCAGGCTTAGTCTTAAAAAAAATATTACAGCAGTTTATGTTGTTATATGAATAGCAGGAAAAAATCTTCCACAGAACACTCCATCCTGCATAATCATTTAATTAACTTGGTATTTCTGATTATAGGAATAAAGGAATTGTCTCCTCCACCTCTGAATTTGAAACGTCTGTATAAAGAGACTCTGGAAATTGAGCCCATCTTGATAATAATTTCTCCTGGTGCTGATCCTTCTCAAGAGTTGCAAGAACTTGCCAGTATTGAAAGAAGTACTGAGTGCTACCATCAGGTCAGTTTTGGATAAGCATACTGACAAACAGAGGGGATTCCTCTGATTAGGAGAAGGGAAACAGGAGACGAAGGATTGGAAGAGACCAAAACAAAATGAGTATTATTATGGATGCTCAAGTATTATAATTAAAGTGTATAATCCAAACATGAGGAAAAAACATGAGGAATATCCAATATCCAATATAATCCAAACATGAGGAATAATCCAAACATCAGGAAAGAAAAGCTAATGAAAAGTGGATTTAATAATTCCTCTCCTTATACAACTTGTGTATTCCTTTTTTAATAGAAAATGTAAATCAGAAATTCAATGCTTATGAATACTTTAGTATTCTTTGAATTTTGGGAAATTATTTGAGAAATGATATAAGTAAATGTTGAATAATCAGTACTTGATAGGAGTTTCAGAAGAAGAGTTTGATATTTCAAGTCAGTTTAAAAAAATGCTGTAAGATTGACAGAGTGGTGAAGCTCTCTGATTTGAGAAATACTCATCGCCAAAAGTATTTGCCCTGCCAATTTGACAGATGTTTTTTTCATTAGTGCAACTTCTTCCCATAGTTTTTAAACAAAAAAGGGAACTTGGTGAGTATAATTCTTCTTGGGCAGATTTCGAACAACAGCTGTACTATGAAGAAATCTTCAAAAATTTCAAATTGATGTATTCCAAGGTATTGAAAACAACCCTTTAAAGAAAGACAAAGAAAGAGAAAGAAGGAGGGAGGAAGCGAGAGAGGGAGGAAGGGAGGATAGAAATCTACTGTAGATGTTAGACTAGTGGAACGATATAGGTTGGAATGGACATCGAGGTTGCTCAGGTCTTCGTCCGTTTGAGTCTTGAACATCTCCAATGATGGGCATCTCACAACATCTCTGGGCAACTTGTTCCAGTATTTGATCACCCTATCAGAACAAATAGCTCAGAAAGATTTTCCAGTCTTCGTCCTTGGAGGTTTCCAAGACTGGACAAAGCCCAGAACATCTGGTCTGATCTCTCATAGCTGATCCTGCTTTCAGCAGTAGGTTGGGCTAACACTTGCTGAGGTCCAGAATTGTTCTACAAATAAGATGATTTTCAAATCACAGTATTAATACACTTCTTTATATCTGTCCGTAAAACATTTTTCCCTCTGCCATTTAAAATTCAAGGGCCTTTGTTATCTACATGATCACTGGTTAGCATACAAATGAAAAATGTCAAGTTTAATGTTGCTTTTAAACGGTCCTTGAAATTGTTCCTTTCCTGGAATGTGCACTGGTATAATACATTTTTCCCATCAAATTATTAAGTTTTATATCTTACTGCCATTCTGTCTAGTTTGAAGGGTTTAAGAATGCATATATCTTATTCATGATACCTCTCCTGACACTTTACTATCTTTTTTGGTTAGCTCTAAATGTCATTTACACGTTAGACTTACAGGATGTAACAAGGCAAGGCCTTTGAACACAGTTCAGTGTTCTAGTGGTGCATCATCTGGAAATTGTCCTACTAAGTAAAATATCTTGATGGTGTTATTTTTTCCTGATCTTTCTCAAACATTCTAAGTAGAACATGGTCCTCTATATTTTTCTTCTCTGATGAATCATTTCTTGTAAGGGTTAAAAAAACAGACCCCTGAATTTGTGCTGTGTGAAACTATGATGTCTGGTGTCTTTATTCTCTTTCATTTATCTTCTTTTGACTATTTTAGCTATTAGGAGATATCACAGTGAGTTTGGCTCAAACAGAGGACAGCCTTCATCATCATACAAAGCTATAGAAAGACCTCAAATTTATTTGATTCATTACGGTTTTAGGATTATAAAAAAAATCTTATTAAGTCATATTTGTTGAAGTAAATAGCAGTAAAGCCAAGAGGAGACTTTTCAGATGCCTTAGAATCACTTTCTTTACAGCCTGTTCTGTGCAGGATTTTTTGTTACTCATTGCCTCCAGTAGAATTTTAGGGAAGAATCAAAGAGAATGCACTCTAAAATTAGTCTAAAGTAATTGCTGTGGTAACTGTGCCACTTTAAAAGATTATTATTTTCAATGTTTAGTATTCCACTGAAAATTTAGTTTTGAACCTTTGTCTTTATAGATCCAAATGTACTTTAGCAGTAGTATGGTACTATAAAAATGCAGAAAAGACTTTTTGCTAAGTTATCTCCCAGTTGGAAAGGGGGAAACCATTCTCCATTCATGTCAGTATGATAGCTTGATAGTTTCTCTTCAAATGAAGTTCTAATTTACAGTTAAAAGCAAATTTGTTTCCATTTTTCTTTTATAGTATCAGCAGTTGTACACTACTATAGTTTAGTCACTGGTATTTAAATTATTTCTATGAATTCCCAGGGAATAGGTGCCTTGTCAACAAGTGATACATGATCTTTCCATAACATGATTAGGTAATACTAATGTTTTTTAAAAAAGCTCTAGTCAGTTCTGTTGCAAAGAAAACACTGTATTTTCATTAATCTTTTTCCTACTTTAGTGTAACTTATCACATTACAGAAACCTATTGAAAATTCTGGTTATAGTTAAAACATCTCCTTGTTTAACATGCATAGACTAACTTGGAAAAACCATATTGTTTTCAGCTGTTAAGTAAATTCTGCCAAATTCCTGATACAACTGTTTCTTTGTTTCCAGATTGCAATGGGCCAAGGCCAAGCTGACCTAGCCATTCAAACGTTAAAGGAATGTGCGCGCAATGGCGAATGGCTGTGTTTAAAGAACCTGCATCTTGTTATATCTTGGCTTCCTGTATTGGAAAAGGTGAGGATAACTAGACAATGTGTTAGAAACGCAGAACTGAAAGATTAGTCTGCAATATTTCTGAAACATTCAGTCATTTCAATGCTGGTGTATTAAAATTCTAACAGTGGAAAAATGAGATGCTAAACAAAAGCTTTGAAGGTTTTTAATCTTGAAGAATATTAAATTCTTCAATCTGAAATCAGCTTCTTCTTTAATGTGAACAGAAGTTTCTTATTTCTGGAGAACACACTACTGAAGGTGTTAAAATTTTTACTAGATTTAATATAGACTAACATTTGCTGATGTTTGACTCAGCATGTCTTCTTGCATGTTTCTCCTGCCTTACATTAGAAGTGTGAGTCCTTGTAATTCCTATGTTTAAAAGTCCTCTTTAGAGATATCTGCCTATATATAATCCAGTTTCATCCAGGAGCTTCACTTTAGTTCTCACGTGTAGGTTAAAGCTTCATAGCTTACGACTAACTTCTCTTAGCTGTCTTCTAGCCAAACATGATAACTGCAGGACACCCTGCAGCTGATTTTGCTTGAACTAGCATATTGTATTTTTTCTTAAATATCCTGTGCCAAGACTGTGGATCCTTTACATATCTTAGGGCATATCCCTCAACATTCCTATAGACAAACTGATGAAATACAGACTTAGCAGTATCTCAGTGAAGTGGATTGAAACCTGAGCTGCTGGGCTCAGAGGATTGTGATCAGTGACATGAAGTCCAGCTATGGGCCCTTCAATTTTGGCTCCTGGGACACACATCTAATGACCCACAGTCCAACTCTTTTAAGATCTTTCATCCTGTATTTACGAGGGAGCTGCTATATGTTTTTATGCTCTGAATTCAGAATTGGGAAGGAGGGTTGCAAATGTTTTGATGCAACAAGGATGAACTTTGAACTTGAACATAAGGCATGTATGTGTGTAAAGACATCACATCTTGAACTATATTTTTTGTGAACCTTGTATTTGTAGCTGTATTTGTAAAGTAACCTTGTATTTGTAAAGTGGTTTTACCCAGGCACAACTTTTTAAGTTAGCAGTTTGCAAATAACATCTCTTCAATAGGAACTGAATACACTACAGCCACAACCAAACTTTCGCCTTTGGCTTACTGCAGAAGTCCATCCAAAATTTACTCCAATTTTGCTTCAATCAAGCCTGAAAATAACTTACGAAGTAAGATCCATTTGGAGAGCTTTCACTGCATGGAAACTGTATATATGCATAGTGAATTATACCTCTAGTTAGAATGAAGTTCAGATAATTTGGACTGCTTGTATAATAGATTTTGTCTTATTTGTTAGTTAAAAGTAGAACAAAAATGCTATGAATTTATCTTGAAAAGTTTTTAGTAGTTGAACATAGTTGTTCAATTGTTGTAAGATTATTTTTATAATTTTGTTGATTAATTTTATAATTTTGTTTTACTTATAGTAAACTCATGCGAACATTAACATTTTTCAAATGAAAGGAAAATGTTCTTATAAATATTAATGTGATTTAAATCTCTTTAAAATTTATCTCTGCCTTTTCTACAAATCATTTGAAAATGGCTGGGTATCTAATCAATCATTTTTACTTTTTAGTATGTAATCTTTGTTATTACCTATTCTTTACCTGTGGTTATTTCTACTGGCCGTATCTACCAGCAATAAATCAGGAAAATGACATTTTATCATATACATCTACTGCATCTCTCTGCCAGCTACAGAGTACACGGAGGCCACAGGTCGCTTTAGCTCTGATCACAGAAATGAGAGCAAAGCTTGTAAAAGATATAAAACCAGGAGAGAAGCATATGTGTGGAGGAAAAAAAATAAAAAAGGACTTATTTTTAAATGCACATATTTGGATAGAGTAGTATTCTACATTAAATACTTTTAATGTAGTTATGTCTTCCTAACAGTTGGTTTTGAATGTAATTTCCTTCAGCATCTTCACATTATTTTTGCTATGGATCATTTTGTTGTTAGGCCATTTATTGTTCAGGTGATTTCATGTTTGCCAGATTTGATAGATTCAAGAATTAAATACTAGTTGTCATTTAAGAGTTATAATTTAAGAAAACAGTAAATGAAAATATAAAATGATAAGCACGAAACAAACTGTTTTTCCTTCCAATGCAGGCACCTCCAGGTCTAAAAAAGAATCTCTTGCGAACCTATGAATCTTGGATGCCAGAGCAAATTAATAGAAAGGGAAATTTGTGTCGAGCCCATTCTCTCTTTTGCTTAGCATGGTTTCATGCTGTATGTCAAGAAAGAAGAAATTATATTCCTCAGGTAACTTTTTGTTTGCTAACATTTTACAAAATTTTCTTTATTTCTTAGCTTTTACACTTGGAAGTGTTTTGTGTTTGTGTGTGGTCATGTTCAGAGATGAGAAAGACTTGGATGCTCCTGTTATCTGCTTTCGTTATTGTCTCTGAACTCACTGTAAAATGAGATCTTCATAGCCTGAATTCTTGGCCCTTGTAAAGTGCCTGCTGCCTGGCACTGCAGGTATTATGTGATTTGTGTCCTAAGTGATCCTGGTGGAGGATCTTTTCCCATGGAAAAGATTCTGTGGATTTTTCCTGATTGAGACAGGAAAAAAGTAAATCTCCTCTCTAGGAGGCAAGGTAGTAACTGGTTTCTAAACACTTTGGAAACATGCGTGGTTGAATTGTTGCAAGTAACAATTATGCCTTCTGAATAGTGGAAGCTGTACAAAAGAGGAGACATTTGGAGAAAGATCCAGCAAGACTGTCTTCTCTCTGGATGCAAATCCTCTTGAAGGAAAAGGAATAACAGGGGAATATGTTCATTTATATAAGGATTATAGCGGATTTCCAACACTATACATTTTTTCTCCCTCAGCTAAATTTTTGTTTAAAGCTTAAATACTTTCTTGCTGTGGGCATTTAAACTAACAGAAATAAAAAAGCATTCTATAGCTT